TTGCAAGTCTCCTTCATGCCATGGTTTCATAGGTTAATTTGCAATCAGTCTTTAACCAGATTATACTGAATTATAGTCTAAGGGAAACATATCTGAGTTAAGACGTACGTATGTACATTCAGTGCATACAAGAGCTGTAATACATGTTGTTTTATACTTATATTACCAAAGCTGCATTTAAGTTTTGATTTTCCACTGCTACCTCCTTGAGTCTGTTTCCTCTAAAAATATTAGGTGGTAATATTTTCAGACAATAGGAAAATGGATTTTGGCCACCCTTACTCAATATGATGTCATAATTTAAGAAAAACAGATATATGTTAAACTAGAAGTATGTTCCCTCTCTGGCAATATATTCACTAGCTCATGGATTCTATCCCCAAAGGCATCAACTTTAAATTCTGCATCTCTCCAAACCCATGCCTTTTATGGTTTTCCAATCTGAGCCACCTTGACAGCCATAGATCCATCATAAATATCCAGGGCTCCAGGAGAAATTTAGGCATGCATCAGCAGATTATGCTTCAGAAAAGAAAAAGACTGCAATGAGTCAGTTACAGAGACAAAATCTCCAAGGAGAACCACCTGGATTTCCTATCTAACCTTACAAGATAGTTCAAGAACAACAAATAAGACACCCTTTCTACCTTTCTTATATAAAAAAGAAGCAGGCTTCACCATGAGGAATGCAGAAGGGATATGAATAATCTCTTAAATCTCTTTTGTATATACAAAAGAAAAAATACCAATTATTTTTGGAAGAGCAAGCATAGAGATATTGAATATTTAGACTTTCCAAAAGCCTCCCGCCATGAGCTCTTGAGCAAACTTTGCAACAACTGAAGAAGACAGGTGCTGTCAGAAAATTTCAAAATTGGAGGGGTGTTCAAAATGGGATACTTAAGGGATCAATACATGGTACTTCTTAATACATTAATTTAATAAATAATCTTATAAGGGTTCTAGAATAAGGGATGGGCAGTATAATGGCCAAACTTTCGCCTGGAGGTGACCTGTGGCGGAGCCAGGATGGAGGTGGTGCATCCATCCTTGTGCTTCTTGATCTCTTGGCAGCTTTCGATACCTAAACCACAGTATCCTTCATAGGTTAGGGATTGGGGGCATCATTTTACAGTGGTGCTCTTCCTTTCTCTAGGGCAGGTTCCAGTCAGTGTTGGTTGGGAGGGAAGAGATCGCTCCTTGGGTTCCTCCTGCGTGGGTATCACAGGGTTCTATTCTCCCTCCCCTCCTTTTCAACAGCTACATACTGTAAAACCACTGGGTGAGGTCATCCACCTATTTGGGGTTGGTATCATCAGTATGCTGAGGATACCCAGTTATACAGTATTTTTCAACCCTGGGCCTGCCAAGTGAGACTGCTGAGGTTCTGTCCCAATGCCTGGAGGCTATGTGGGTACTGAATGGAGAGGAACTATCACCAAATCAATCCTACCAAGAGCAAGTGGCTGTGGGTGTTTGGGCTGCCCAGATCTGGGAATATTTCATCTCTGACCTTGAGTGGAGTGGCACTTACTCATTCAAGGGTAGTGAGCAACTTGAGGGTCTTCCTGGACTCACAGCTCCTGCTCAATGAGCAGGTGGCAGCTGTATCCAGGAAGGCCTTTGCACAGCTTCATCTGGTGCACCAGTGGTGCCCTTTCCTAGATTGGGGGGGCCCTTCAGAGAGTAACTCATGCCCTGGTCACCTCACGGCTTGACTACTGCAATGCATGGGGCTGCCCTTGAAGACCACCCGGAAACTTAAATGTATTTATTTATTTATTAAATTTCTCCTCACCCATCTCCCCCCAATGGGGGACTCTGGGGAGTTCACACAAAACTGGTCCAGAATGCAGCAGCATGAGCAGTGATGGGCATGCCTTGGTATGCCCATGTAACACCTTTGCTTCGCGAGCAGCCCTAGTTGCCAGTTTGTTTCCAGGTGTGATTCAAGGTGCTGGTTGTTACCCATAAAGCTCTACATGGCACAGGGCCTGGTTACTTGAGGTTCGATCTGGCAGGGTTGGCATGCTCCAGATTCCTTCAATTAAGCAATGCTATCTATTGGGATCCTGGAAGCACACCTTCTCTGTTGCAGCACCGGCCCTCTGGAATGAGGTTTCCCCCAAGATCTGAATGACCCCTACCTACCCTGCTGGTGTTTCAAAGGGGCCTGAAGATCTGGTTCTTCACCCAGGCCTTTGTAGGAACGATTGAAGCCTCCTTTTAGCTTAGGTTGTTTTCCTTTGCTTCCACCCAATCTGTCATTCTGCCATCTCTACCCAGGTTTTGTTTCTTGTTGCTTTTATTGTCATTTTTTAAATCATCTGTAAACCTCTCAGAGTTGCTGGGAGTCAAGTAGCATAAACATTTAATAAATAATAACAACTTGCAAATTGCAACAAACAGCTCAAAGGCAGAAATAGCAAAAAAATGGATTGCAAAGAGCTCAAAAGTCCAAGCTAAATGAATAGGCATCAACAGTTCAACGTAAGTGTAAAATTATGCATATTGATATACAGGTAGTCCCCAGTTTAAGAACAAGTTCCGTTCCCAAGGTCTGTCCTTAAGTTGAATTTGTATGTAAGCCAGAACAGTATTATTGTATAATATTGTATAAGTAGTATTGTGTAATTATTGATATACAGGTAGTCCCCAGTTTAAGAACAAGTTCCGTTCCCAAGGTCTGTCCTTAAGTTGAATTTGTATGTAAGCCAGAACAGTATTATTGTATAATATTGTATAAGTAGTATTGTGTAATGAACTCGAAGCATTGTGTATTTAACTCAAATCATTGTGTATTAACTCGAATTTTGCTACAACAGGCTCCATTCTTAACTATGGATCATCCTTAAACCGGGCGTTCTTAACCTGGGGACTATCTGCAAACAATCCAAGTACATATACATTAATGGGATCTCAACTGATCAAGTAAAGGTTCTTGAAGGCATGGGTTGGACAGCTCAGAGAAAATGTCAATCATGCCTGTCATTGCTCTTAAAACAAAGGCAACTTGGAATCTTTAGAAAGGGAACTGGAAACAAAATAGCCAATGCAGATTATACAGCTTTGATATAAAACTATGATGGGATTGCTTTGGGAGTATTATGTACAGTTCTGGTAATCACACCTAAAAATGGATATTTTAGAGCTAGGGTAAGTAGAGCCATGGTGCAGTGGTTAAGGCACCAGGCAAAAAACTAAGAGACCATGAGTTCTAGTCTCACCTTAGCCACAAAGCCAGCTGGGTGACCTTGGGCCAGTCCCTCTCTCTCAGCCCTAGGAAGGA